TGCTGTCAAACATCACCATGGATCCTGTCTGTTTTCTAATAAACACTATCTGAAGAAAACAAGTTGCATCATTGCAAACATTTATCTCAACTAACAATCTTCTCATGTTCAACTTCCTCTTCTTCTTTTCGCTTGGTGAAACACGTCATTGTCACAAATAGACCTGAATGAACAAAGTGTGAACTCTGATGGCTGCATCTCATGTTGCTGATCAAGAATTTGGGGTCTCTGTCAGTCACTGTGGATGAGAGAAAACTACATTTCAAAATATAAAAGTGAAAACTAAGTTTTTGGACATCGATAAGAAATTCAGAGAGACTGAAATCTAAAACAGACTAAAAGTCACTATGAGGAAGTGACATCATCCTAACCACAGGAAGTAGCTTATGCGTCTCTCTACTAAAGCACTAGTTTAGAAACTCAGACAGTTCTGAGCACGAGAACAAGAGACAGAAGAAGGAGAGACTCAGAGAATCATGATGGTTGAGTTCAAATGGATTTCTTTATTTCTTCCAGTGGTGCTTCAGTTTACAGGTAAGAATACATATATCACATATATAAATGGAAGGCACATTGTAAAAAATAACTTGATCAATATTATTAAAGATTCTTTATTAGCTACATTTGATTTAACTAAGAAAACCAAATCTGTTGTTTCTAATGTGGTGAGTTTAGTGAACTCTTGGAAACTAAGGATAAAGAAATAATCGTCACTAACTATGAACATAACAGACATTTTCTCATTTCACTTTATTTTTCATCATTTTCTCAACAGCAGCAGCTGGAAAACTTCCCCTCTCCTTCACTGTCAGAGTTGGAGATGAAGTGACTTTGCCTTGTGAAAATGTGATAGACGGTCAGCAAAACTGTGAATATACTACATGGCTCGTTGTTGGTTTAGGAAACAAAGTCGTGAAGCTGTTTGAACTTGGACAGATTCACAATGAAGCCAAATCTAAATCAGACAGACTGAGTGTTACAGAGAACTGTTCTCTGGTTATAAAGAAGGTCACATTCGATGATGTTGGTTACTACACCTGCAGACAGAACAAATCAGGACAACCTCAAGCTCTAGACTTTGTGGTTCATCTGTCTGTTATTATCAGTGAGTATTTCCATCATAATGTTTTCAGCTCAAACTGTCTTGTTAGAACAATATACTGAAACATTACAATAATTATGATCACAGTGATGAAGTTAACTTTACTCTTGTTGTCTTTCTCTCACAATATCTCCATCTTCACCAGTGACTGAACGTAAGGACGCTGATGAGGTGACGTTAAACTGCTCTGTGTTGAAATATGAACAGTCCTGTAGACACACAGTGAAGTGGCTGTATGAGGGTAAAGATGTGGACAAAGATAACAAAGACATGAAGACATCACAGTCTGGCTGCTACGCCGCTGTGTCTTTCCTGGATTCTCATTTTATTAACAAATCAAAGTCTAACTTGAAGTGTGAAGTGACAGATGGTTCCTCTGGAAAAGTGCAGCTGTTCACCTTCAGCCCTCAGTCCTCAGGTGAGAAAACAGGTGAGAATATGCTGAGCTGTTCAAGATGACTAAAACCACCAAAACATTTGTTTATTTGATGACTTTTCACAGTGATGAACTTTACACTTTCACACAAGTCTTTTGGAATTTTATGGCAAAACTGAAAAAGTCTTCTTTAATTAAGTGACTGCAAAGACTAAACAAACCCTTCATCATAGTAAATACAGAATACAGGAAGCAGAGCCGGCCCTCGGCCTTCGGGGGCCCTATTGAAAATTTAGTTGGAGGCCCCTCTGACTGTCGGGCGTTGTCACTATATATGACACAGAAACATCTCTTGTTTTTAAATAAGACCCGATGAATCTTTCTCATGTTTCTAAACCTGCCATGTTTGTTTAGCACAAACACACCAAAGCAAATTTCTTGAACCTACTTGGCAATAAAGCTGATTCTGCTGAAAAACAATAACTCTATATTATTATATCTACTATGTTTGAAGTCAAACAGGAAACACATGATACCACCAGAGCTACTGAGCTTAATGGCAGTTCAAGAGCCAGTAGACACTGATGAACTTAGTGCTGAATAAAAAGACTCATAAAGTGATTATGACCAAAGCTTAAATCTTTAATAACAGCCAAACAAGAGTTTAAGAGACAAAAACTAGGAAACAGCTGACAGCATCATTTTCTCAACCTGCTTCTTTATGAGTGATCTAAACATGTAATGATAGAAAAGACTTTTACTGTCTGAGTGTCTTTTTGGAAAAGTCTAAATGTCTCTGTCAACCTGTGCTGGTTTTACCGCTCACCACATCAACGTGTAACTGGTCGTTAAGTCCTGATGTCCAGTCAGCTGGATCCACTGGAGCAGCAGAAACTGGAGAGACAGGTGTGCTGGTACCACGATGGTACTGCTCTCCACTTCAGTAGCCACAGGTAGACCTATGAGGAAGATTAACACATAAAATAAGTCATTTCAGTAAGTTGACATGTTCATACACTGAGTGTTGCTAGAGGTGAATAATTGTTTAGTTATTGTTGATGTAGGCCTAAACTTACCAGCACTGTCAGCTTCCTGGATGAAACCAGTGATGGAGGTAGAGGTGGAGGCTGATGGACCTGCTGTGAAATAAGAAGAATAAATAAACTGACTGAATTGAAATGACTTGTGCTCTTAGCTTAAATCTGGAGGATCTTATATCTTATTTAGATAAGATGTCTTTTCAACACTGGCAGCTTTGGAGGAGGCTCCATGATGCTGCTCCAGAATCAGTCCTTAAAAACAGCGACTACACACTCCCTAGCTGACAGATTTGATTTATAATCAAAGGACAGGGCCTCTCTATAGGTTTAACTCAAACACATAACCTACCAGCAGTGTCAGCTTGTTGGGTGACAAACAAACAACAACAACGACTGAAAACACAAAACCACTTACAACCACAACAACAACCAATGATGCTTCAACAAACTTCAAGGTAGTAACTCATCTTTCTCTAGAGTCTCTCTGTCTTCCTGTCAGCCTCTTTCTCTCCACATACTGAACTAAAACAAACTTTTTATTGATTTTATATGTTGATTTTTAAGTTATAAAGCCAGTCATCAAAGTATAAATCAGAAAATGGAAAGTGATTACATTCTCTCTCTCTCTCCTCTTCTGGAGTCTAAAGTCTGAATGTCAGAGCGACGCTCGGCTGTGGGTGGAGATATTCTCTTATTCAGTCAGTCTCACTCAGTTGTTGTTGCTCAATCCACAAGATCCACTGCTGCTCACAAATCAGACGACTACATTCACAGTTAGCAAAGACATGCGGGAAAACTGTGAGCTGATGAAAGTCTGTGATTCGTTGCTACTTTAGCTGCAGGATTTCAAACAGAACTGAACTGTGCAGTCAAAATGTTTCTAATGTTTTCAGAATCGTTCTGGAGGTTCATCATTGTGTCTGTGGGTTTAGCAGCACTCATAATAATTGTTGTGGCAGTCAACATCTGGACAAGAACTAAAGGTGAGAACATTCACAGATGAAACTCAGAAACAGGAAGTTTTGATAAAGCTGGATTTTCACTGTGGAAACTAAAGTCGACTCTTTCTCTTTTCTTTTCAGGGACAAAAACACAGATGGATGAAAACACAGTGAGTTTATAATGTTTTTACAGTTGGTACTTTACACAGCAAACCAGTGTTTGTGACATCTGTTCTTCATTCTGAAGTGTAGATATAGATAGAAGAAGACAAACAGAAACAGGACTCACTGAGTTGTACTGAAGTGGCCGTAGCAGCAAAGTTCACAGGATTCATTGCATGTAAAAATTAAAATAAAAGAATATTACAATAAAAAATTAATATTATACAAGTAAAGTGGATGAAGTATTATATCAATATGACAGTTTAAGTACAACACCAACACAAACTACAGCCTCCAAAGACGCCATAGATCTGAATCAACACGTCTTTGACACAGTGTCAATACAAACTGAACATTATTCCAGATTAAAGGGTCAGTTCACCTAAATTACATCACATCATGCAGTATTTTCTCACTTAACCTCCAGCAGCTTTAAACAACACAGATAGTTTAGTTTTATTTCCAAAAACAACGTCCACGTTACTGTACTACTATAAAATCTAGTTCCAATGCAAACTGTCCAGCAGCCAGTCAGATAAAGATCAGATCAGACAGTAACTAATGGTGCGTTCAGGGTCTGCTGACTCAGTTTCAAAACATCAGCAGTAAACTGGGAGGAACATTTTGGATTTGGGGTACCACATAAACACTCCCTCTCTGGTCAGTCAGCTGCAGGAACATGTGACAGTTTGGGGTAGCCTACTTTATTTACTATATTTATTTATTTTACTTTAATTAATTTAATTTCCTTCTGCGTGTCCTTCGTTACCACAAAACCACTTCCTCTCTCAGTGGCAGAAACGTAACAGTAACTGATGGTGCGTTCAGGTGCTGTCAGATTATTTCTTATCTCCTTGTGTTAAAGCGGCTATATGTAAGTTTTTGATTTTAATAAATCAAATTTTCATTGCCTTATTGTCAGTGGGCTCAAAACTCACTCAGAAATGAAGCACACGCTTGTTTTGCTTGTTTTGCTTGCGTCAGCCACTATTGTGCTTTTAATGTGAGGACTCCGGGTCGGATTCAGCCCTGTGCGCGCTCCCGAGCCTCTCTCGTACTACAGCGACAACACGGCAGCTAACGACATGCAGTCCACTAACACCATAAAACAACCGGCGCACAGCAAAACACAGGCTCCACGTAAGGATACAAAACAACAATAAAGGTTTATGTGCTGAAGCCCATCAGACCAAACAGGTTCAGATGATGTCGAGTAAGAACAAAGTGAGCATTAGTAAAGCTGGAGAAACACAGAGAAAGTCACGTTAGCTCGCCGGTGTTGTAGCCCTACTGGTGTTCAAACTAACTGGTTGGCGTACGCGTGCTCGTGTTGTGTGCAGCAGCTGCAGACTGACTCCATCCCCAGATTCATCACACATTCACAAACATGTTCCTGGCGAGTTTCAAGTCCCATATTTAATCTACTGCGGCGATCATGATTGTATAAGTGAGCACTGCATTACAGCGACATACGAAAAAAGAAATGAAATAAAATAGACTTTGTATAAAATCGCGTCAAGCTGGATTCGAACTCACCTGAGCAAAAGGTAACATCTACTTCAAACTCCCCACGTTAGCTGTAAACTAACCGAGCAATCATAGATTACTGTCGTCCGGTCACGTCATCATCCAGGTAACACTTTGTTTGGGCTGATCTAAAACAACTGGTTACCTTGAGCGATCTTAAAAACACCAGAACATGTTTATCAAGGTTTTTTTCTCAAGGCTTCGGCAATATTGACTCCCTAGACACTATGACACGGGAATACTTTTAAACAGTGACGATCTAACTCCGACAATACTGTGAAAACATGAATTTATTGTCGGCCGAGCCGCAGGAAGAGTAGAAGTGGAAATATTCTGCCCACAACACAGCAGGCCTAAGGCATGGACTTCATTCACATCCATCCTTCCTATATTGTAGGCTGTAGTAAAATACGAGGCACCCACTCTCCTCTGCTATCCTCTTTATCAGTAAATGCTCATCAGTTCTGCGTTTTAATGCCGAGCTTTGGCTGCCCCAAATCAGAGAGACAGCTAGTTCAAATAGTGGCATCGGCAGCTACCAGTGGCATTTCCGGTGGCAGCTTGAGATGCCACAGATTTTTCCTGATATGCCACGGCACCTTTCACTGTTTATGTGATATTTCTGGTGAAACCGACATGCCACAGATTCACTCAGGCACCTGCCGTTGTTTGTGTGGGATTTCTGGTTGCAATGTAACGTTACCATGCTACGGCATCTGCTGCTGATTGTGTACGTTAGGTCGCCACTGATTTACTGTGAGATCTGCCGCTGATTCAAATCAATCAATCAATAAACCTGGACCGAGAGAAATATGTCAGCAACAGTAGTTTATTATGCAATATATAATATTGTGCATTTCTTCATGTAAACAGCAAGAGTCACGTTTAATGAACGCATTGTTTGGTGCAATACAGCTGGTAGTTTAACCTAGGTATTTATTGTGTGTGCAGAGTTGTTACTGTTAGCACTATATTTAATATTAAATTCATATTTAATGTGGTTTTCATAGTAATAGATATGTTTCGCCTTTCTACCAGCAGGTGGCAGTATTTAAATGAAAGTCCAGTTTGTGTCTCTGTTAACCGTTTTAAATCCAGGTTACCGATACAGATGCATTTATTGTTCTTCATTTCATTTGTTTTTTCATTATTAAGGATTAATTTGTAACCTAGTTACCATCTTCATTCACCCACAGCCCAGCGTTAAACCTGCATCCCCTTCTGTTCTAACCTGGTTCTGCTGTCAGCTTCTTAGCAGCTCAGGCAACAGACACATCAGAAATGTCCTAATATAGATCATCTGGCCAAAATAATGATTATATACAGTCTATGGTGGCGACCTAACGTACACAATCAGCGGCAGATGCCGCGGCATCTCAAGCTGCCACCTGAAATACCACTGGTAGCTGCCGATGCCACTATTTGAGCGGGCCCCTGCTGCCAAATCCTGATCTCAGCGTGGTGCGCCATTGAAATAGGATACAATAAAAGACCCAAACATTTCAATCCGTGAATCATTTGTTCATATACTGTTCGCCGAATTAACCGAAGACAGTTAATTTGTGCTATGTACCATTGGATGTACTGACCACTGTGAGTGAATTACTTTGATACAGAAAAAATCTTAAACATTCTCAGGCAAGTTCGGAGGCGTTCCCATTCCTGTCCCCACACACGCATTCAGTGAGTTACACTGTGTAGCCTACTGCAAGTCGAGCCTCGTTTTTTATTTCCCAAAACACTAATGTAAAACCCATTTAACTTGTTAGTTGTTGTTCAAGCTCATCTTCATAAGCCTACATTAGCCTAAATCAGGTACCGCCGTCGCCTACCCGTTGCTGCTTGTTTATCAAGTGTAAAACACAAAATAACTTCCTTACAAATTCCAGTTTTTCGTTTCCTATGTGTGACTTGAGCGTGCTTTCTGACGACTCAAACCTAGAGACCAACAGTTGCTATGAGTCGTGAACTGATCAATTCTGTTTCCTGTGCTGACGGAGCCCATGCAGCTGCCGGACTTGCCGCTGTTTGTTTCGTAACATTCAGTTTATGTTTACCAATACTCAGGTATACAGCTTCTCCACCTCTCAGTCGCTGTAACTAACGTGACCCACATAACATAAAACACTCCAACAAACCGGTCACAACAACCCAGAGGAAGGAAGAGCCGTCCACTAACACTAGTTACAGTAAAGTTACTGACTGCGGTCTGACTGTTATAAAGTGAGACACAGTCTCATTATAACATTCAGTCCAGCTCACTAACCGTTTCATTATTATCCAGTACATGTAGCTGTGCTGACACTGCTGAGCCTCCGGTGACAGATTCACAGATAGTAAAGATAGTTACTGAAAGCAGCAGACGAGCTAACGATGTAGCACGTTGGCTAAATGCAGTAAATGTACCGTGATCATGTAACGAGCACGGATTAGTTCAACCTGCAGCTGATAAAACTATTACTGTAACGTTGCAGTGGGAGTTTACCTGAGTTTCCAGCTCTGTCTGTTCTCCCTGTCTGTCTATAGTCGCTGTCACTCTGCCTTTTTTCGGGAGGATTGTGCCGATATGCAGCTCGCTGCTGAATTAAGTAACGTTACGGCGCCGGTGTTGAGCTGCCTCTGAGACGGGAACGTTGAAGTAACAGAGCCTGAACATGTCTGAGTGAAAAGCCGCAGCCTGCATGCTGGTGTTTCTGCGTTTATTGCAGGATTGTGGTTGTGTTTTGGATTCTGCTCGCTCATGACTTCA